TCTGCGTGTGTTTAACACTGACACTTTAGAAACCACCTTTATCAAGTGGAATTAAATTACATATTTTCATTTTATGAAGAGCTTCTTTCCTTTCCAGTAACAAACAGGAAAAAACCAGTGTTACGACTTCACTATGATTTAAGAGCGTGACGACAGGGATTTAATCAGTGTGTTTAAATAGACCGACTGTTGGCTTCAGCAGCAGCCGGAAAAGTGTGGATTTGATATTTATTCTGTCCATCTGTCCTGAGCTTTGCTGACACATTGACAATCTGTAAAGCCTTCACAGAACAGATGACACGATCTGACTCAACTCACACAAACACAGAGGGAGGATTTCATGTCTGTTTATTCAGGAACTTTATTCTTTCAGCTTCTTGGCTACTTGATTTCCACGCAAATCCCCCCCATCTTACTTTTTAGACAGGTACTCATATGTTACCAGTAATTCACTGCTTGCGATTGACTCTTTCTCAAATGTGTCTCAGAACAAAAACAAGTTAAAAAAAAAAAGAAAAATTCCACATATTTTAACATGAATTTTCGAGACTAACATCAGACGTGCCACTGTTTCCTCATTGATCTTTTTCTGCCCTCTCATTCAGCAATCACACAACCCTCCACACAAGCTGAGTTAATGTTTGCTTGGACTCCGTGATTTTTGCACACGCAGTAGGAACAAAAGCCAAAGCAAATATTTTCTTTAAAGAACAGATCTGACTTCATTTGAGGGCTTAAAAATTAAGTGATTCATCACTTATTTACACTGATACCATAAAAGCCTCCAAAATAAAACCCAAAACGCTTTCTGACACAGAAACAATTGAGATGACCTGCTGAAGTTCAAACTGAGCACCGGGTGATTTAAGTGACTTTGAACGTGATGTGGTTGTTTCTGCCACACTGGAGTTTTTCAGAAACTGCTGATCTGCTGGGATTTTCCCACACATCTCTGGGGTTTACAGAGAATGGTCCAGAAAAGAGAAAATACCCAGTGAGCAGCAGTTTTCTGGGTGAAGATGCCTTGGCAATCAGAGCTGATCAGAAGGTAGCAAAAACTCAAATAACTACTTGATACAAGAAAGTTATGCAGAAGAGCATCTCTGAGCACATATGTTGAATCTTGAAGCAGATGGGCTACAGCAGCAGAAGACCAGACCGGATGCCACTACTGTCATCTAAGAACTGAGGCTACAATTCACACCCCACCACCAAACAGAAGATTAGAAAAGAGTTCCCTGATCTGATGCAACACTGGGATAGTAGGGTCTGAATCTGGTGTAAAAACATGACAGCATGGATCCATCCTGCCACATATCAGCAGTCCAGGCTGCTGCTGGTGTGATGGTGGTGGGGATATTTTCTGGGCACACTTTGAGCCAGCCGAGCTTCATTTAAACAGGCTACCCAACCATGTCCATCCCTTCATGACCACTGTGTGTCCATCTTCTGATGGCTGCTTCCGGCAGAAAACACACCAAAATCAATTCACCTCAAACTGGTTTCTTGACCATGACAGTGGGTTCACTGTGCTCAAAAGGCCTCCACAGTCCACAGTGAGTCCCATCAATCTCAGAGGAATGTTTCCAACTGCTTTTTGAATCTGTGCCATGAAGAATAAAAGCAGTTCTCTATCATATCAAGAACAGAGTGGAGAGTCTCTCACTCAGAGAACCAAGGTTACAATGTAACAGTACAATCTGAAGGCAAAAGGAATCCCAACCCAGTACTACCAAGATGTACCCAATGAAGCCCCCGGTGAGAGTAAATACATATTATTAAGCTTTTAAAATGAGTGTGATAACCAGTGTTGGGTAAGTTACTTTAAATTAGCAACTGAGTTACATTACTAGTTACTTCTATCAAAAGTAATTCAGTTACTTCAAGTTACTCGATACTTTCAAAGTAACTAGTTACTAGGGAAAGTAACTTTGGTTTTACTCTGAATTCTCTTGTTAACGTGTTTCTTCC